ACGGTGAAGGAGAGCAACACTGAACCTCACAAGTAGTGCAACGTCCAAAGTTAAGTCAGTGCAACCAACAAGTTTCACTTAATTCTTCTTAACATTTCACCTCCGGTACATCTTGTTAGTGTAGCATTCTCCTTGGTTCTCCCTCACCACGCGCTGGACCAGAGCCAGCAGCTGCTCCCTCTGGGCCTCCTGCTCAGCCCCCGTTGCCCTGTTGTTCAATGCACAGTAGCGGCCACCGAACTCGTCCACCAGTTCCCGAATGCCTCCTGGCTCATCCTCCAGGTATTCATGGATGTCAGTGTTTTCCAAGTCATCTTTCCTGGTGAAAACGAGAACTATGAATCTTCTTGCCGTGTCTCCAAACATTGTCAGGACCTTCTTTGTGGCCTCCTGCTCTTCCCTACAGTAACGGCCCAGCGCGACCACCAGGAGCAGAGCATGAGGCCCAGGGGAGGTCAGTAGGATGCACCGAGCGATCTCCCTGTACGTGTCGAAATCTGGCACCTCTGTGTCAAAAATTCCAGGTGTATCCACCACGATGAGCTCTCTTCCCTGCCACCTGCTGCTGCGCTTCTCACAGGTCTTGGTGACGGACTTAGCTGCCAGGCTGGAACGAAACACTTTCTCTCCGAGGATGCTGTTCCCAGTTGCACTTTTTCCTACTCCAGTTTTACCCACTAGGACAATTCTCAGCTGGGAATCTCTGGGGTCTTCGTTTTCCAACCCTGGGACATCAAGGAACAAAAGCCACAGTGTTAGAATGTCCCTCCATCAGTTTTACCTGCAGAGCCCACACTCCACTGGCCCTCTCTGTGATGGTGGCTTCACCCTGAGCTCTCTCTGAACTCACAGGAAGTTCCTGGAAACCCCTCTGGCCTGGTGTCCATCTCCCAGGACATGGGTAGTTGCCCTCCTTGATCTCCTGTCTTCAGTTTCTCTTTTCAAGATTCTTCTGGGCTTCTTTCTCTGACCTTTATAGCTCTGTAGCCCACAGAGGAGGAGATACAGGTTTCAGGTTGGAACTATGAGCTGCTCTAGTTGCTGTTCCTAAGGAGGTCATGCAGGAGATAACACAAAATCCTACCTTAGGACATTGGCATTGTGAGTAAGATTTCCCTCTCCAACTTAGTTTCAAAATGCAGCTCTTCTTCTCATTATGAAACTATAGAGATGGGCTGTACAACCCTTTCCTATCCTTAAGATTGAGTCTCCCATGTTGGACAACCAGAATCCTGGGGTGTAAAAAGTCTTTTTCCAAAAGCTTTATGACTGAGAGCACCAGGTAGAGGAAGACTAAGACTGTCTGCATCAATTGTGGATGGGTGTCCACACAATTATTGGTCAGCAACACAGTGGAAGGCTTCCTCCCAAAGACATCCCGAGGGCACTGGTTGGACAGAGGGAAGGGGAATAGAAAAGGCAGCAAAGGGCAGTAAATGAAAATGCACCAGAGGCCAACTCCAGGACTGCACCCACTGGCCAGTGTTGATAGCGTGGATGACAATCCGTGGGGATTGCAGACATGGCCACACATGAGCCCATCCCTGTGTACATGCCTCTTTGAGACATGGATTTGTAACCCCTCCTTCAAGATACAGCCCTGGGATCTGGGTGGGCTGTGGACTTGCTTTGGACAGCATCACAACAGAAAGCACGATGCAGGCAGCCCCACGAAGGCCAATGCGTTGTCATTTGCTTTCTCTTTCTGCTCCTCCTGCACCTGCCTGCAAAGAAGTCTGCATTACCCTAGTTGATGGTGGTCAGAAGGCCCAGTTATCCGTCATCCAGGCCTTCCCAGGAATCTGATAACTGCCAGACTCTTTCGTGAGGCTATATAAACTCTTGCAGATGGAAAGTGAACCACTCTCTAACCACAGATGCCGGAGCAAGTGTCCACCATTTACCAAGCTGGTCCAGACTCAAGAACTGCCCAGCCTTCCTGCAGAATTGAAACCCAGCTAGATGCTGGGACTTTAAGCTAAGCCAGAAAAAGCTTAACTGATAAAGTCAATTTCTACTGATAAGGGAACAAAGGGAGGGTTATGTGACATACCAAGAGAGTCAGCCTGTTCCATCATTGGTTATAGCAAGACCACCGGGAGCAGGGAAATTAGGAACCTGGATAAGAAAGCAATTACTCCCACACTCCTCCATCTTAATTCTCCTCCAAGCTGGATGGTGAGGCAGAAAAACAGCCAAGAGGCAAAATTAGCTATCCTGATGTATCCTCAAAGTGGAAAGCGAGAGGTAAGACACTGTGTCAAGCCCTGGACAAATCAGAGAATGTTTCCGTCTCTCTTCAACTTGACTATTATGGCCACATAATGAGAAGAAAGTGTAGAGATTCAGAAGAAATAGAAGGGTAAGTGATGAGGAAAATGAGAAAGTTGGTCGGGGATATTTATCTCTTTGCTGGGGCTACGGTTTGAAGATGTAATGTGTTGGAAATTTGATTATCATTGAAGCAGTGTTGAGAGGTATGATCATTAAGAGATGATTAGGTCATGAAGGCACAGCCCTCATGACTAGATTCATGCCATTCATGGTTTAGATGTCTCAGTAGGGGGTTCCTGATATAGGATGAGTTCCACCCCCTTTCCTTCTATCTCTTTCTCTCGCTCTCACTCTCACTCTCGCTCTCGCTCTCACTCTCACTCTCACTCTCTCTCTCTCCCCCTCTCTTTGTCTCATATGCTCTTTGGTCCTCTGCCTCCTGCCCTGAGATGACACGGTAAAAAGGCCTTTGCCATACACCATACACGAGCCTTTCAACCTTGAATTTCTCAAGCTCCAGGCCTGCAAAAAATTAATCTGTGTTCTTATAAATAACCTCATTGAGGGTTTTCTTTTACAACAACACAAAATAGACCAAGGAAGAACATTTGTATGAGAAGTGGGGCCGTTGCTATGCAACACACCTTAAAATGTGTAGAGAGCTTTAGAACTGGGTAATGGGTTGAGGCTAGAAGAATCTGAAGGATCTGTCTGGAAAAAAAAAAGCCATCATTGCTGTGAATGAAGCATTAGGGGTAATAATAAGGAAGGCTCAGAATAAGAAATGAATGTAGGATGTGAATTCCAGACGTAGTGTGTTTGGAGGAGTGGGGCCTGAGGAAGGACATTTTGGAGGAGGGATACAGAGGCAGAGCATTGACGGGATGGGGAGGTGTGGTGTTATTGGTTGAAGATATTTTGATCAACTGGACTGGGGAGAAATGTTCACACATTGAAATGTTCACTTTGTAAGCTAAATAATATGATTGAATATATATAAAAATTTAAATTAAAAAGTGAATAAAAATTTAAAAATTTAAAAAAGAATGAACTAACAAAGAAATAGGCTTTAAAACAAAAACTGTTTGAAGAGACAAAGAAGGGCACTATATTATAGTAAAAGGATCAATAGATCAAGAAGATATAATGCTTATAAATATCTATGTGCCTAACACGGGAGCACCCAAATATGTGAAGGAAAGACTGTTAGATCTAAAAGGGGAGATAGACTGCAATACACTAATTGTTGGAGACCTCAACACTGCACTATCCCCTCTGGACAGATCATCTAGAGAAAAATAGATAAAGAAATAAAGAATCTAAATGATACTATAAATCAAATAGACTTAACAGACATCTATAGAACTTTCCATCCAAAAACCAAGAGATACACTTTTTTCTCACCCCCCACATGGAAACTTTCTGAAGATTGACCACATCATAGGGCACAAAGCAAGCCTCTACTGATTGAAAGGCATAGAAACTATATCCAGCATCTTCTCTTACCATGATGGAATTAAATTTGAGTTCAATTTCAAGAGAAATCCTCAAAAATGTTCAAATATATGGAAACTAAGTAACCTACTCCTGAATGACTCCACAACTACTGAAGTAATAAAGATTGAAATCAAAAGATTCATGGAAGCCCATGACAATGAGGACATGAGTTTCCATAATCTTTGGGATACTGCTGAAGCAGTCATAAGAGGGAAGTTCATAGCAATTAGTGCACATGAGAGTAAGACGGAAAGAAGGCAAATGGATCACCTAACATCATGCCTTAGAGAATTGGAAAAGCAACAGGAAAAAAATCCAAAAAGCTCCAAAAGAAAGGAAAAAATAAAGATATGAGCAGAAATAAATGAAACAGAAAATAAATGAACTATACAGAAAATAAATGAAACTAAAAGCTGGTTCTTTGAAAAGATAAACAAAATCAATACACCACTAATGAGACTTATTAAGAAGAAGAGAGAAAGGAACCAGGTGAATCAAATCTGCAATGAAACAGGCAATATAACAACAAACAAAGTAGAAATACAAAACATCATTAGAGGATACTATGGACATCTATATGCCAAGAAACAAGACAATCTGGATGAGATGAACAAATTCCTGGACACATATAATCTACCAAGATTGAGCCAGGAGGATATAAAAAGTCTGAACAGGCCCATAACAAGTCAGGAGATTGAATAAGTAATAAATATCCTCCCAACAAAGAAAAGCCCTGGCCCTAATGGATTCACCTCTGAATTCTATAAAACTTTCAAAGAAGAGTTCACTCCCATTCTGCTCAAGTTATTTGTAAAGATCCAAAAGGGTGAATCTCTCTTTAATTCATTCTATAAAGCCTCTATCACCCTCATCCTTAAAACAGATAAGGACAGGACTAGGAAGGAAAGCTATAGACCAATGTCTATGATGAATATAGATGCAAAGATTCTCAACAAGATACTAGCAAATCGTATCCAACAACTTATAAAAAAGATTATACATCATGATCAGGTAGACTTTATTCCAGGAATGCAAGGTTGGTTCAACACACGCAAAACCATAAATGTAATACACCATATTAACAGGAATAAAGATAAAAACCATATGGTCATATCGATTGATGCACAAAAAACATTTGATAAGATACAACATCCCTTCATGATCAAGACTCTCAGCAAAATCGGCATAGAAGGGCCATTTCTCAGTACTATAAAAGCTATCTATGAAAAACCCACAGTGAACATCCTGAATGGAGAAAAGCTGAAAGCTTTCCCACTAAAAACGGGTACAGGACAAGGATGCCCACTTTCTCCACTCCTTTTCAATATAGTACTGGAAGTCCTCGCCAACACAATCAAAAAAGAGGAAAAAATAAAAGGCAATCAAATAGGAAAAGAAGAGGTGAAACTGTCTCTATTCACAGATGATATGAT